CGATCAGGCAAACAGTTAATAACAGGGACGATAAATGAGCAATAAAGTACATAGTAGGTAATACGAGAAAGGCTTCCCGCAAATATTCTTCTGTGTGCGTATAAGCGTACATACTTACAAAAGTGCATATGGCACAGTGAAGGTATGTGGCCACCGACACCAAGCGCTTCATCACCATTGTGTCTCAATCATACGCGTATGTACATTATTCGCATCCTCATTATGTACATATGTATATGCAGTAGGAAGCTTTCTTACATAAGCACACAAACATATGTACATACATACATATCACATCAATGCCTGTGGCGCCGAGTTGTCTACAATTAATGAGTGGATTTCAAGGCGCTTTCATGTGGTTTTTTTTCTCTCTTTTTTTGTGTTGCATATAAGTACAGACTCTCCAGGTGGCTGTTAATAAGTGGTGTGCCAGAAATTGTGTGGCATGAACGGAAGTATAATCATGTTTCAAGCTAACAAACAATGCAAGCAGCGAATAGTGCACGCACGAAAAGAAAGCAATACATACGTAGTAATAAATGATGTGTAAATCGGTGGCTATTCAGTGAGCTTTTATATGAAAGCGTTTTTACTACCACATATTAAATTTTCAAATGTATCATTAAATATCACTATCATAATGGACAAAACAGACAGTTAAAAAATTTGTTATTGGTAAGCAAAATTACATCTTCAGTGCACAATTAGGACTCCCTGTACGGTGAGCTTATGCTTCTAGGGAGGCTCTGAAAAGAGTCCCAAAGAGGCATATCCGCCGGAGAAAAGTGCCTTCGCGATATATATGAAAAAAGTTGCCCTAAATGAGTGATTTTGGCGATGGGAGAGATGTCTATTCGGCCGTCGAGCTTATCTTTGTAATTTGCAATCTCAGAATATTTTGAACTTTTTTACCGGTGAGGCAAGTGCCAGAAGTGTCGCTTGGCTATCTGAGAAAATGTATGCTTTACGTACTTATATGCAGTTGGTTTCTAATACTTTCCTGGCCCTCTCGATTCCCAAGCACTTCCTTTTGGTAGATGCTAGCAAAGTTCGGTTGGCGAAACGAGATAGAGCCACTCAACATCTGAGGAACACACCCGCACCTTTACCACAGGTTATTTTGGACCCGTCAGTATAGTTTTCAGTGAAATTCTCCACCGCTATACAGTACCTACTTTAATCCCATCCAGAGGGAAACTTTATCTGAAAGTTTTCCTGAAATATATCGTAGGAGATACATAGTCTGATTGTGTTCCAGATTCCATAAGCTTGCGAAGAATAAATATCACTTTGATCGTTCTGCAGCTCTCTTCAGCAGTTTTAAGTTTTGAGTCTGATTGACGAGTTCACTGCAATCTCAAGGATGTGAAACTCTATGGGCAGTGTTGGTCAGTATCTGAGTCATAATATTACCAGTTAAGTGATAGCCATGAAGTGGCTACAACGACGCCTTTCTCCATTTTAAAGGTGGCCAAGCATATGCCAAGCAGGCATAATTAAAACGAAGCAGAAAGTAAGTGTCCATATGGAAGGGAACATACATAATATATGTATATGAAGAAAAAGATACTGATAGCCAACTGAGTGCCGTCTCTTAGCTAACTGTTTGCAGACAACTTCAGAAAAGAACGTTAGAATGAATCAGTACAACGGAATCCAACTTCAGTGTCAGTCTATTAGAGATCAGTTTCCTTGCATAAAAAAAAAAATTTATTAATTAATACGAGAGATCCACCATTCTTCTTAAAGACGGACCGGCATCTCATTACGATGCTCGATCGGCCTGTGCCAAAAGTTCTGGTCAAACAACACAGTGGCCAACAAGGGAAGGAACGAGTCAAGTACGGGTCGCTGGCGCGTCAATGAAACGGAGAAAACTGACTAGGCGCGCATGAAGAAATTGAGAATCCCGAAATAAGAAAAGGATTTTAAGGGTGATACAAAGAACGTTAAGTACTTCTGGAGTCTAAGTGCTATTTTCTTAACACGTTGTTTCTATTAGTATTGACAAAAGAAGATCTTTAGCAAGTTGGATCTTAAGATTCGGAAAATCAAACAACCAGGCAAGACACACACACATATCCGGCTTAGAAGACATTTTTATTTTAAAACTCGAAACTGTATAATTTATTAAAGTAAAGTAAAGGCACTTTTGTTAAGTTCGAAGANATAAAAATTTCCAAAGACTACAAGAATTTATTGAAACGATTATCTGTTATGGTAAAAAGCCTACAATTGAACGACCGAACGTGGAGGTGTCGGCTTCACTTAACCCAAAAAAGGCGCGTGAGGCGCTGATGGAATCGAGCCATTCTGATTTAAAGTTGACAGTAGATAAGCCAGACTAGGCAAAGCTGAATTTGGACGACTTGGAAGAGAACTTATTGGCGGTAATGGGCGATTTGAATTGGAATTCGAAGCTGGTATGGAATTATTTTCTGCGTTGCTTGACAATTGTGGTGGCGTTGGAAATTCCTGAGGTCGGCTGGAAATTTGTGGCGGTGTTGGAAAACTTTCAATGGAACTTGGTGTTTGGGGAGCTTGTGGTGGTTGAGAAGCTTGTGGTGATTGTGCCAGTATAGAGTTGGACTCACCAGCTGGATACGATACGCTCTGGCTATTAGAGATGGGCAACACAGGCTGAACAGCCGCGCTTATCGATGAGCTTGGTGGTCTCGGACGATTTTGATTCGTAGGCAATGGAGGAGACAATGGTTGATTGTTGTTAGTATTAACAGCTTCAAGATCTGTTGGAATTAGTGGCCCCTCTTGGCTGCCTTGAGTTTGTTTTTCAAGAAATGGAGGTTCGACTGGAAAATCTAGAACTGAGCCAACACTATTTTCATTTGGCGGTTGCGCAACGACAAACTGTGACTCGGTATCTGTGTTAACGGGAGAATTTACTTCGAACTCAGCTGGGGTATTTGCTGCTTCCACGGAGTTCGGAATTTTGCCAGTTACAGCTACATTGTTGTCATTATTGTTATTATTTTTGTTGGTAAGAAGCCGTGAAAGAAGGTCCCTTATGGCAACATAGGAAGCGAAGTCAAGCCTTGGATATTCCAATTCATTAGCACTACTCGCTGCTGACGAACCCAATCGGTAGCATTCTGCCAAGCAGATGCTGCTAAATATAAACAAAAGCGAAACCTTCATATTCGACTACGCCAGCTACCCGTTGCAATGCACTAAGTGATACTGACTCTAAACAGGCATTCGCTGATCTTTTAAATATCTATGGGTAAATAGTTGATTAGACATGTTATAGCAGACAATTACCAATAATCAGTGGCACATTACAAGTCTTTAAATTTTACATACATACATTCATAGATACGAAAGAGCACACCAATTTCCGGTGATAAGATAACAATTTTGACACCTTTTTTTGTATTTATACTTTGCAACTGTTCTTCGCGTTCATTAGTCACACGGAAAAGTGTTGTTCTTAGAAAAACATTGTACATTTTTTTTTGCAAACTTACCAAATAAAAAACTTACATTTCCTAATTTAAATTTATTGTGCTCCAAAATTTTCTCTTTTTCTAAACCAAACCTTTTCTCTTCTCCACTCATTCTTCCAGGTGAATTCGATATGCGCGTCAAGTCGTGTGTCGCATCAGATGGTTCCGGTCATGTTATCAATCTCTCCGATGAATTCGGCTGCGTACTACGCCCGAAAATGATCTCACGCTTTCTGAAGGCGCGCGCGCCCGATGAGCGCGCCACCGTCATAACCTATGCCTTCTTCCATGCCTTCAAATTCCCCGATGCGCTGAGCGTGCACATTAAATGCAAGGTAGAAATTTGCCGCCATGGCTGTCTGGATCACTGTCAGCTCACCGGCAGCGTTAACGAGCGCAAGGATGTGCTTATGAACGACGCTTTGGGTAACCAGAACGAACTAAGTCAAGAGATGGGACATGGCATACATGGCGGCGGGCAACAACCGGCACTGGGCGGCATGCCTTTGGGTGGTGGTGGCGGTGGCGGTGGTGGTGGCGGTGGCGGCGGTGGCGTTGGTGTTGGTATGGGCGGTGATGGCGCAATCGATCACGATATCTTCTACGATGACATCATACACAATCGCAAACAGCTGTCATCGATCAACAGCGGCATTGCCAACATACTCGATCAGTTTAATTTGCATGAAAAGAATGCCAATGCCAATCTCTCGCCGCGTCCGGTACACGAAGAGCCTGAAGATTCCGATCTGGATTCGCTGTTCGGCGAAGACGAATTAGCCGATTTGGATGAAGCTCAATATATGGAATTGAAGAAGAGCGGCAAATTCCCACATGGACCACGTCAATTGGAGGCGCAAAAGCGCATGGGTGTGCCCATGGCCGGGCCACGTTCGCTAGAACCGAAATCCAATGATGATGCGACACATCCCATTTATCGTCCTCAAGCGGAAGCACTGAAGCGGCCACGCGAAGATCACATTGACCTCGATGAGGCAAACGATGAGCTGCTCAAGCATAAGTCGAATCACACTGAGCAAGGTAGTGACGAAACGAAGTCGACACGTCGTCGACGACGATCGATCGTCATTTCCGATCGCAAGGTGCGCAGCGCGGACGTAGGTGTTAGCGGTCTGTACGATGTCATCTCGGAAGCTGATCTTGCCTTCTCGCCAGATTCGAAACAGGAAGCGGTCACCGTATTTCAGGGCAAAATAAGTGAGGAGGTGGTATATGGCATTTGCATGCCGGTGCCTGGCTTCAGCATACTCTTCATTGTCGTCATTTCGGCAACAATTGTATCTGCGCTAATCGCCGGTTCATTGCTCTATCGTTATCAGCTGCAAAAGGAGGCGCTCGAAAAGCAAACTCCAATACCGGCGCCTGGTACATTCGCCTCTTGGATGACTCTACGACTTTTCCGTATGCGACATTTGCAGGAACAACACGAACGACAGCAAATTAGTGCTGGCACAGTTGCGGCAGCAGCAGCCGCAGCGGGGACGGTAGCGGTGGCGCACGAAACCGTGCAGTAGAGAGTTGCGATGTAGCGAAATTGTCGGAGTTGGAGATAAGTATCGGGAACTGTCTAAATGAGGTCAACTAGACGTTTATTACAGAAGTTCTTATAGAAAATTCAAAATTAGGGCTACGCAAATATTTACAAAATACATAGATATGCGCTGATGGCCGTTTCCGGATCAATACGTCAACTTAGACTGAAAGAAAACACACGAAGAAAAAAGCGGAGAAAAGCTCAAAGACAGACGCCTATATTGAGTACTATTTTGTAGTATTGTTTTTTTTTTATTTTTTAACTGGTTTTTTGCTTTTTTTTTTTATTCTACTTGGTTATAGACGAAGTTAATGTTGTTAAGAAACATTTTCGGGCAGCACTGCAATAGCAAATCACTGAACTACTATTTACATAGTACATACATACATACATACATACATACATACATACGCTCCTTAAGTACACTCATTTAAAGACGTTCTACAAATATTCGATTAATTCAGCTTCTACTCGCTCGCACTTCCTTTTTTCCAATACAGATAGTAAGTGCATACATAATTCGGTGCTCTTAGGTGCATTTACTTTCCTTTTAGTATAAAGTTATTATTTGTTAAATAAAAAAAAATAAAACTTAAACCAATTCTTATATAATTCTTAAACAAAAACATGCTTATACACAAACATATGTATGTATTTATTTTAGCACTATTTATTGTATTTATTTATATATGCTTATTTCCTATACAGATCTTCACATTCTATAAAGAACATAAATCTTCTTTAATGAATATTTCTAAGCTGATTAATAATTGTAAGAACATAATTCTAAAACTTTTGCAATTTAAGAAATTTGAATGCAATATTTTTTTGTTAACTTCAAAATCTTAATTTAGGTTAGCATCTAAAGGCAAATGAAGAGTGTGAATTTAAAGTCAAAATTTAGTTTGTTTTCATCTTTTGTTTAATCGACACTAATGAAAGTTCAACACACATGAAAATTTAAATTAACACATAAGTCAGTTTATATTATTTATTTAAAATTATTTTAGTTATAATTGAATACTATGATTATGACGAGAATGAACAAAACAATAAAATTAAGTTATAAATAAAATAAAAATAATTAAAAAAAAAACAGCCATGACTTTCAATCCTTTACGCATTTTTTGAGTTACAATTGTAGGGAAAATCTCAAGTTTTGAAATGACAAAAAAAAATTCTCAACTTAATATTGGGTCTTTCCAGATGAGGTCATTTTCCCAAAGATATCTCCATTTTTATAAAAAAAAATTTAAACTTTAACAAGGAAAAAATGAAAAAAAAATAGCAAATCTCTTGAATTTTTTTTTTTATTTGTATTAAAACCTGTTCTATTGCAAAAAAATCGAGCTACTAATGATGAAAATCGATGGATAAATAAACTAGTAGTGAATGGTCAAAATAAAATGTGCAATAATTTGTTTATAAAATAGGAGCAAGATATACATACTTATGTACATATGTATGTGTTGATCATACGTCATACCGTATATGGCCCTACTCGTCAGTGGTGCCACTAGAGTTTATTATGAGGTACCAAAAAGCCTACCAAATCAGTTTTCGAACTACCAAAAATTTTTTCATCATTAAAACGAGATTTTATGGAATTTACGGGTTTCAATTTAAAGCAATTTTTCTTTCAAGACGTTGGGCAATTTTCAAAGCAAATTTCAAGAGCTGATCGATCGCAGCTTTGAGAAGTGAGTTTATGTTTTCGGAGAATTGTGTGTTTTAAGATTTAAACATGAGCTTAACAAAGATTATGGGTAAACATTGATGAAAACATTTTCTACGTTGAGGAAAGCAACTAACGTATTTCTTTCCGCCCTCCACGGGCGTTGTCCTGTTATTGCGAGTGGTTTGTACCAGTGTTGCCGTTTCGGTACTTTTGGGGCGAGATTTAGCTCTTTTTGATTTAAATTGCCTCAGAAATTTGATTTTAGCACCTTGCTCTCTTTTTAAACCTTTTAAATTTCGAGGCTCCAAAAATCTAAAAAAAACTAGTTTTCTTAGTTACTGCTGTTTGTTTGGGAAAACACATTTTCAACTGAAAGAGTGTTGAGAGTAAAAATTGAAATTGGCCGCCTTTATTAAATTTGTCAAAAGTTTAACATTTTCTTTCCGATCTGGCCGTTCTTATGCTTCATAATTTCATTATAAAATTGTCCTTCTTCCTAGCTTTTTTTAGTAATTTTTTTTTTACAAAATTTATCAACTAAAAGGAATGAACAAAAATTAACAATTTTCGAAAAAACATGAAAATTTCCTTATGTTTCGAATTTATACGCCTGGAACTTAAAAAGACTATTCCAATTGACACAAAAAATATATCAAAGCAATGAGGCTAAATATATCTTTCGAAAGGTGTGCAAAGATGATTAGTTGTCCTCTAAAACAATTTTCTTGGGAAATAATTCGACCCAAATTAGTCTAAAAAAATATATTTTTTTTGCGAAGTCCTTTTTTCGTGTAAACTAATGTAATTAATGAACTCGTAATGTATCTGCATATTTTTTTGTTTTCTTTTTCGAGTATGAAGCTCAGAACTTTTGTTTACCTGTACCCGCCTGTGTACCTAAACAAATAAATTTTCGGAAATTCATTCTAAAATAAACAAAAAAAAAATATGTTTAATCGAAGAGTAATGAAACTAGCTCTTTTTTAGCTATATTTTTTGTATATAGTCCTTTCTAGCACTCTTCTGGAGATTCTGGCCCTAAATGGAATGGTCTTCTGGCAACACTGGTCTGTACTTATCGGATTACATGCCAAGCCTAAATTCATACTGCGTTTTACTCGTAAGTATGATGTGCTGCCCATCATGGTAGCAATTATGATCCTAAAACCATACTACATTCAATGTTTATACCAGGGCACTGCATTATCGATGTACATATTTGCTGCTAGTTGCAGAGCAGTGCAGTTTCCTCGCCCACCGAACGACCGTCCCTTGGCATTTACATACAATACAACAATATAAAAAGCGACGGAACCCAGTGGGAAAGTAGTAATGCATTACATGCGTGATAAATAATGTAATCTATACCTTATGGATATTTGGAGTCCATTACTGGTTAATATTTAATCAGCATCTAATGTATCCAAAAAGTCTAAAAAAAATTCATACTAAATCACATACATTACTACTTTTCGAAGGAAATCGCCATGGGGAAAACAATGCGTTTTCGAATGTGAAAACAGCTGTTTTACTGATTATTTTTTCAATTACCATACATTACATGTTCCCACTAGGAAATTTGGCAGGTGAGAGAATTACAATTTGCTATTTTTGTTTACAATGCTATGCAGTAAAAAAGGCAACAATCAATATTGTTTTATATTCTTCTTAAAACACCATCTTTTAAACCACCCTGTATATACGCAGTGCGCGCTTTCAGGGGGGCAACACCTTTTCGGGCAATATTAGTAAGTACATTTTCCCTAAGCTCGCCCAGGCTGGACAGCTGAATAGCAGATGTTCCGATGAGACGATGTAATGCCTTACCGAATAAATTTCGATCGGACAATGCTTAGAAAACTTGGTGGCTATACGTGAGTCTAAATTTGGGATTGATGCAGAGTACCCAGCTGAAAACATATCGACTTACTTTTTTACCCGGGTTAGATCCTTCCGTAGGTCATGGTTCCAGATAACATACCCCGTCCAGTCCTCCCTGTATGGGATGTGGCTGGTGAAGGCGCAACTCCAACGCAGCATCCATATGAAGTGCTTTATTCAGCCAGGAAGCTTCTTAGAAATTGGTTTTCAACTAATTCCAGAAGTCAGCCCAGTTTTCAATCAAGTTCAAGTATACCTGCATCAGTTAATAAAGGGTGCCTAAGCATTGTTCTCAACTACATTTAAGTACTACGTCGGCAGCAGACAGCCTCGTTTCTCTAAATTCTCCAGCAGATCGTTGCCGACAACAACCCAACGGATGAATAGAAGCGCAGCCCCATTCTGACGCAACAGTTGTGTTATTACGATAAATAAACGTTACAGAATCGACTTCGACAATCAATTTATCCAGCAAGTTTACGATTGCAAGAATTGAAGCCCCATCTACAAAATGGGAAGGCAATGTCGGCGGTATACGTTTGAGAGAATGACTACTCAACTCAATCTCTACAACCTCGTGCAAAACTGATTCTACCGATCTGCCCTTCCACTAGATATGTTGAATTGATGACAAACGCTTCTTAAGTACAGATATGTCAGTACCTCAAGCGTCTTTAAGAGAAACGAGAAGAAAATGATTGGTCGAATTTCCTAGGGGGTACATGTGAGACTTTGCCCGCCTTGGGTACGAATATATTTTTACTCAAACCCCCAAAGCTTTTGGAAAGCGCTTAAGTACATACCTAAGCAGGTCACCTTTATCAGTCGAAAACTCAGATGGCAGGGGCTCTCAATCACTATTTTACCCGTCTGGCTAGAGCTTCCCCTGCAAGGGACCAATTTCTGTTGAATGAGTCGGTGAGAAGCTCCCTCCATGCGCTCTCCGAGCTGCCGCTTAGCATCCCTCGGAGCCACTTAGGAGTATCGGCGTGCTTTAGAATTTTAGTAGCTATTTTCTTTAACACTCAAAGGCTCTGGGATTTCTTGAAGCGCCAACCAATAAAAATGCTCTAAACTTAATTATTTTTTATAAGGCAAATATTTATTGAAGTTCTCTCGAGATTATAAATAAATAAGAAAATAAAAAATCGAATTTATGATAAACATTGTAAATTCAAGATTGCATCATAATGGACTTGCATTAATATAAATAAATTACTCAATTAAATAAGTTAATAAATAATTTAAAAATAAATTAACTAGTCGTTGTGGATAAATAACGTTTGCATAGGGTTTTCAGTCAAAGAAATTACTGCGAAGAAATAGAAAATTTATTTTAGTTAAAATATATTTATGTGTATGTAAATATAATTTAATATTTGTTTTATTTATAGCCTATTTTATTTTATTTAAATGTGGTTTCATTTTTTTATGTAGTTTATTTAGTTATATAATTTTAATTTTTCTACAACTAATGAACGCACTTAAAATATTTAGTGACTACTTCAAGCATCAAATTATTACATATAACTATTTTTTTTTTTTTGCTTTGTATTTGTGTTTTGTCTGATTTTTAGTTTTAATTGTTTGTATGTACTTGTATTTTGTGCTTTTCTTATCTATTTTCTAAAGTCTACAAAAATTCTTTAATACATTTTAAAGTTTATAGTAAAAAAGTAGACAGAGTAAAGCGTTATATAAAAGAGGTAAATGGCGTTGTACGAGTGCTGAATTAAAAATTACCAATTTTTTTGATTTCTTAAAATGTTTAGTTTTTCAAATTAGCAAAAAATGGCGCGCTGAGTACAAAAAAATATCACCATGTGCTACTGTTATGCATTCGAATGATTAAAAACAGATTACTGAGCTTTTCATTTCCATTGTTAAAAATGTGCTGAATTACTAAAACTTCAAGCTGAATTTACGTAAAACAATAAAAATGGGAATTTGTCCCTTTACTTAGTGAAAAATATAAATTTTTAACACAAAAAGACGTACTGAATACAAAAAAAATCCACTCAAATTATTTGAAACGGCCTGTGCATTTAATTTCTATCGTTAAAAATGAGCTGAATTACTAAAACTTCGAGCTGAATTAACCCAAAACAAGAAAAAATGTACTTCAATCGCTTTATTTAGTGAAAAGAATACAGATTTAAAACAAAAAGGTGCGCTGAATATAAAAAAAACACTCAAATGGTTAAAAACTGGCTGCGAGTTTGATTACTATCGTTACAGAAACACTGAATTACTTAAACTTGGAGCTAAATTGCTCTAAACCCACTTACAATTTTTATTTTGTGGAAAATATATATTTTGCAATGCGCTGAAATTCGTAAATCCGAGCTGAATTAAGTTAAAATATGTAGCAATTCTTATTTGGCTTTTGATCAAATGAAAACGGTTCATGTATTTGCTGCGTGTCGTCAAATGTGTTCTGAGTTACTCAGCCTGAGTAACACTAACTGCTGTTCTTATAAGCGCGCTGAATAGCACAAACATCCAGGTCGCAAATTGGAGCTGAATTAGACAAAGCTGTTTGATACAAAAATTTGCATTGAATTATTCGCTTACTGCCTCTTACTCGGCATGTGCATTGAAAAAAATTCGGCCAATTTCGCATTGACAAGAAAAAAAAATCGAGCTAAATTCAAATAGGTAAGGCGAAAATACTCATAAAGTAGTTGAATAAACATTTTAAGAAATTTAATTTAACTGAACACTTTTACTTCATTTTAAATAAAGCTGTATAGAAATTCTTTTAAAAAAGAGGCTTCCTAGAGAGTTGAATACAGTTTAATAAAACTGAATGATATAAGTTTGAGCCGAAATCGTTTCTAATACCGCATAAGTCTGTGCTGAATTCATTTTAACAAGCTGAATTTGTTACTTGAGCCGAAGTCGCATTTAACACCAGCATAAATATGTGCTGAATTCGTTTTAACAAGCTGAATTCGCGCTGAATTGAATAATATTTTATATGAAAATATAAGTTCATTGAATATTAACTGAATTAAATACATACGTACATAATATTAAGTTGAACTCGATATCACTGACATACCTATTGTTGGAAATTTATTTTAGTTAGCACACATAATTTTTTTTCTGAAACTACATAATTCCAATAGATATACATAAAATACGCCGATTTGCATTAAATCAAGCCGCAGACAGCTCTTCGTCGATAAAGCCTTTGTACAAAAGTCGCTTGGCTTCATTTGAACTTTGAATATGGCTTAGCACCGGGTTCTACTGCATATATCTTCATAATTTTCATATTTGTTGTTATGTTATGTTTGTATTTAAGAATCAAACTACATTTGTATGTATAAACTTAAAAACTAGTCTTCATTTATATATTTAATGTTTATTAAAATTGTAAGCGCTAAACTGCCACCAATACAGAAGGCCCAAACAGACTCGAAAGGCTCGTCGAAAAAGTTCTCAATTTTAACCACAAATTAGTATGTAATCTGGTTCCTTGCTTTTGAACTGTCGAATAATAATTAACACATTACTTTGTAAAAGCAAAGAAATACAAATAGCTACAAGCTAAAATTACACTACTACATACATACATACATGTCAATGCATGTCGATGCATGTAATCTTTAGACCCTACGCTCATAAATAACTTAACTAAATAAACACCCGCCTCGGGAGCGATTGCAAACAAGAGAAGACTATTGTGATTGTGTTGTATGGTGACAACGTTAGTACCCATCCAATGCAGCGGACAATCAGTTCGCATCGGATCGGTGAGGTTGCTGAATGTAGTACGCGCGACCTGCAGCTACATATTCATACATACATACATACATACTATAAAAGAAACCTCGGCATACCGAGTCTAATTCGTAATCGTCGTAATATTTATATTCTCCGTTTGAATGTTCATGTGTGCGTTCGGGATTTGGTGAGTGTACCAGTGTGGGCAACAGTTGGCGGTGGTCCTGGTATTTGAATGACCGGCAAAGCGCCAGTCAATTGCGGATTTGTGTAGGCCACCGCACGTTCCTTCTCCGAATGGCTGAATGTGGAGAATGGCCGCAAGCGCACATACAGCACAGCTGATATTAGACAGGATGTTATTAGAATACCGAGCAGTATGATCAGTGTGATCGCGAAACCGGGCGTCGTCATGCAGATGAGTCCGTCTTCGCGCGCTGGAAATACCATCGTTTGCGGTGTGGCCGCTGTTGTGCCGTTCATCTGATCGTCAATGGCGAAGGTGAGGTCACCCGACGAGACGACTTTGATAATACGATTAAGTCCAACTTCCTGCTCTGGATCGACGGCACGCGTACGACGTTGGACGCGTCGCTCGTCCCTTCGCTTTCCAATGCCGCTGCTCACATGGTAGGTGTCAACGTGCAATTGCGGTGGTGGTGGTCCATATTGCGACTCCGGACCAACTTGTAAGTGATGAACTTCTTGCAAATTGGGATCAGAGCATTGATCGGGACACTGATAACGACAGATTTGTATTGTGCACTGGAAATGTACTTCCATTGAATCGGGGAACTTGAATGCTTGGAAGTGCGCGTACGAGAGTACCGAAGCGGAGGCGCCGAAATTTTTGATTTTCGTAAATCGTGACATAAGCTTTGGTCGCGTGACGCAACCGCGTTGATCTACCAATTGTATGGGTGCACGCTTGCCATCGTGCGCTACACAGTTACGTACAAGCATATCGAACTTAGAGTCATCGTCCTTGATAGCCAACACCATTGTCATCGTTTGGCCGATCTTCACCAATCCCGACACCTCGGAAGCCCATGGTCCCTTGCCAACCTGTATCTGCATCCAACAACCCACATTGTCACCTGCAAAGTCTGCGCGCACCACATCCAACATATCGACGGGGAACGGACGGAATGTTACGCTTTTCTCGTATTGATCGTGCCAAGTGCAACGTAACTTGCGCGCTTGATCCCACACCTCCTGCACTTGTGGATCATACTGTATGACGATGATATTTTCGAAATAGGTGCCCGAACCCGACTCATGCCCATAGCCATACAAGCCGTTTTCTGTGTTGCCCGAAGTGCCGCACTCATGCAGTCCAATATCGAATGTGGCCGATGTGCGTCCCAATCCAGAGGGTAAATGCACGCAATTCATGTTGCTGTAATGTCCCTTCGAGAAAACAATGCCGTAGAAAGGTTTATCGAATTTCACAAAGACTTTCATGCCATTCTTTTCGCACTTCACATCCAACGAGATAATCTTTGGCATATCCTGCACTGGTGAAGACCAAATTTCGTTGTTGCTCGAGGCGCCAACACTCAAATCGGGCAGCACTTGTGGCGCATGCACTTGCTGTGGCGGTGGCCGTTGTGGTGGCAATGGCGGCGGTGGACCCTGGTAGGCTAGTTGAGCGGGTGGTGGTGGTGGACCGAAGGGTTGTCCAAGACTCAAGGGAATGCTCTGATGGTTGCCTAATGTGGAGGAGAGGGAAACGTATAATAAATTAGATTGCATAGTTTTTATGAGATTGGCGGTAATTTACTTCGGGCCGGTCCCGGTTGCTGCTGCTGTATGTTGTGCTGGTATAGCACTTTTGGCGGCTGTTGTGGTTCCGATTCCGATTCCAACGCCACCTGATCAACTTCATTGTCATGCTCGGATATCTCTTCTGTGCCACTGATGGCTTTGACCACGTCAACATCATCTGCAAGCGCAATCTGTAAATAAATGAAACGAAAGTTTTTGAAAAATGCTTTAGACAAACTTTCTGCAAATTAAAAATCGAATGTGAATAGCTCTCAAGAAGTTTTGATGCTCAATATGCATGTATGTATTTATGTTATTAGCCTCTATCTAAACGGACAGTCTGCTCTTGACTAAATGCCACTAAAAAGTTCAGAAGACCTTTAGGGAGTTGGGAGTGAATGTGCTTGCAATGCGACCATGTGTCCTGGGTATTATATAACATTTCGGAAATAGAGCTGGCGCGAAATTCAAAAGAACATAATTTCTTTTGTAAGATATAATTTTTCCTCAGCCCAAACCCTCTTGCGAAATGAAATACAGTTCGCTTGGCCACCTGTTCTATGATTTAGGGCCAGTTGCTCAAAGCCGGCTTGACAATAATCATCGGCTAACATCGTTATCAACTTTTTCAGCTCCATGAATATAACACGGTATCGGTAACGTCGATAACGATGTTTAACCGGGCATTAATGTCAACCAGGCTTTGAGCAACCGGCCCTAAGTGTAAATGTTTCGGCTCTAAAATTACTTCCCACGCTATTGTCTGACATGTACGCATTATTTACATACATAATGCTTTGTGAACGTCGGTCCCGTCCTGGCTTGAGGCCCAAGTACCGCCGCATGGTAACCATAGTTTGTACAATTATAGTGCACATCCGCAATAGTATTCTCCGGCTGCATCACTAGAAGTTATCTACCAGACGTGCGTACACCAATAATGCTTTCGTAAATCTTAATATTGGTGCATCCATGTGTAACAGTTCACTCTCCAATAGAAATTCGCGTGGTAAAAAATCACATCTACTCGATACTGCCGCAGTTGCCAGTAGAATAATGACGTGTGTTCCCCAGATTGAAGTAAAACCAACCCTCAGTAACTCTCGGGAATTGATACTGGCAGTTTATGATTGGCTCAAGGACTTTCATAAATTGTGTAGTGGTAAGCGTTTAAAACACGTGGTATTACAAAGAGACCACCACTATATTGTCCAAGTGTGTCACCATCTCATTGAATAGACTGGACTGCAGACAACTTGTTGGACTGCTGACTGGCCACTTCGTGTGGCACAAACACATGACTGTGATAGGCGTACATGACAACTCCATCTTCCCATCCTGCCTTGAAGAGGATGAGATTTAAAACAGTTTAAAAGGAACATGAAAACAGTACAATGGACGGCATGTAGTCTGAGTGTTGTTTTCTGCACGCATATGGATACCCTGAACGTTATGACAAACCCATTTTTTATAGACCTGCACACCGCATTAGTATCTGCTATAAGATACAGAGGACTGGATATATGGCTAATATGAACGATCGGGCATAGCAGTATAAATTCCTGATTGCCGTCGAGAGCTGACTAGAACGGGAAACTTCATAACTCCGCCTGGCCACATCATCTGTATAAAAATAGCTGCAAAATCGAACGCGAGTTTCTCTTAATTCAGAAGATCAATTCAACTGCCCGATTTTGCAAGTGCTTTCCAGGCAGAAGTATTCGCTTTAGTTGTCGGCTGCCATCTTTTAGACAGATAGTCAGGTGGCCTTTAAAGCCCTTGCATCTTTGACAACAATGTCGAAACTGATCAACAAGTCTAGGACTTTTTATACGCCGTAAATAGTCGGCAGGCATGGCGAACCTCCGAGTGTATTCTGCTATGAAAAACATCTAGCGTGCGCCACAAATCAGGGTAGAATCTCGGCCAAACATTAACATTATGTACAAACGCCAATCTTTTATTATTATTATTATTATTATTATTATTATTATTATTATTATCATTAAGTAGTCTGCACGATCTAGACTTAGTTCAGTTCCTGGTCATCGCAGGATTCCCGGAAACGAGGCTGCAGACGAGTTAGCCAGAGAGGATTCCACATTAGCTTCGAACGAGGATCGGTTCTCAACCCCAATTGGAACTAGTATATATAGAGACTTCTTTCTCCACAATCTTCAGAAATCGACGCATGATGGCAGGTATTGGCATACTGGAACCCACGCCTGAAGGTTGGGCATAGCAGAAACGAAAATGAAATGAATGAAGGAAACTGTAGAATACCTTTTATTGTGGATGGCCAGCTTTAATGAGGAGCCTCCATAACGTAGTATGTGCACAACTTTAACACTAGGTTTAAGGTGTCAAAATGATACTTATCTGCTACTTGGACGTAAAAGTTTTTCCGTCACCATTCTGGCCTAACTTGAGCTTGTCGCGTGCCGTCAGTTTATATTTGCATTCATATGTGTTATACAAATTCTAGTTTAATGGAAATCGAATATGTATGTTTGTGAAAAATTTAATCGCAATCAATCAATCTATCAATCAATTAATCATTACCGCAAGCAACAACAATCAATAAAACCGCAAACTTCCAACGGTTCTTAAACGCCCCAATTAATATCTGGTGTTAAGCATACGGCAGTAAATGCCTTTTCATCAATGAACGGGATGTGATGTCGCACGATTTGTAGAACACAACACAAGAAAAAGGCCAACCAATTTCACTTTTTTCATTACACACACACACCCACACTCTCCAACGAACAGATGATGATGACACCTGTTCCCAAGTAAGTAGTAGACGATCCAGCACATGCTGACAGACGCTACATTTGTATGTAGTATTTATCTTCTGGCCAGAGCGCAAATTGAGTTCAAGGCTAGAAAATGTGTCATTGCTTGCTGGTACTTGGCAAAAAAAAAAAAAAAAGAAAAAACTTTCAACGACGAACCATAAAACAGTCAAATGTGTAAAATGTGCCAGCAACTGGTTGGCGGCGTTTTTGTGCAATTCTATTTCTGGGTTTGTTGACCACTTTTTGCTAGCCTTTTCGCCTTTTTTCTTTCTTTTATTTTTTTGTGCTGCAACATAATTTTCTTTCATTTCCATGCATTTGCTGCTTTCCTGGCTTCCCGGTGATAGTTGTTGGCAGATTTTCTTTTACTTTAATGGTGACAATTTATCTACGAGTCAAACTAGTTAATGACAACGTCGCTGCGGCAGCAATCCATCATCCGCATCAATATTCAACTTAACTATGTATATGAGTTTATTAAGTTATGGTGCGTAGAGAGTAACATCAATATCAACTACCACACTTTAACTTAGAAAAATTGCATGTGTAAGTACTGCATAAGTTTGCATGATGCTCGTAGTGCATCACACGCAGCAATGTTGCACAGGCGTCGCGTAGCGTTGCTCATTACCGGAGCTACAATTTAATGGATATGTCGGCCACAACATTTGCCCCATTCGCGTGCAAGTGTATGTACATTTATACAATTGGCTATGCCGATCGAGACTATTTTCATTACCAACCGTTGGAGAAAATTGCCGTCTGCTCTGAACGACGCGACTGCGAGACTGGAGGTAACAATTATGCCGTTTGTAGCTCGNAAAAAAAAAAAAAAAAAAAAAAGACAGCGCAACATAAGTACAGGCAGTCTTTTAGTTGTCTGCGCATGTGCAGCTCGCACGACATCACTGCATCACTTGGTCATCAGCGCAACAAGCCACAAGCGATACGACGAGTGCTTTAAGCGCAACCAGTGTATGAATGTATGAATGTGTTTGGATTGACACAGAGCTTTCCATGAAAAATCAAATACTTAGCTGACATTTATGTTGTTGTTGTTTTTGTGTTCTCTTTTTATTTTGTGCTTTCTACTACCGGCCAAGAAAAGTTATATTGACAATGACAACTGTACAACAACTTGTACAAATACGTGCAATACGCACTGCAAACATTTGACGAACATAAATGCGTGTGGTGCATCCATTCCAACTGCTCATTGCTGAGGTGAGCCAGCGGGCTGTCATTAATGAAAACGGAACTTCTGTAGCTTGGGACTTCTTATAAGGCAATGGAAATTAATTTTCTTTTACTCTGAGTATAGTAGCAATGTTCCTTTTCTTGAATGTCGTTATCCGAGTTTAAAACCACCGACGCTGACGAAGAGTTTCAGCTGCCTCGAAAGATCCATCCCACTATGGTGCAATTTCGGAGCAAGGTAAACTAATAACTTTCTAGATTTGACCTTGAAATATCTATCTCTAAAAGTCACTCAACTAACAGCCCGAGTTAGCTTTTCCGTGTTGCAAGACACAATCGAAATAGTTTGCTCCTTGACCTAAGAATATAAAGACCTAGACTTCTACCGCGTCTCTTAGTAATCGTATCGCCTTCGAATAGAAGATACGAAACAGTCTCTTTGGCCGCATTAGAAATACAAAGCAAATGGTCGTTCACTCTTTAGCGTCCTATGAAAATGTCTTTTAGAGATAGATTAGAAATTGGAATTCCTGTCCTTGTCCTGTTGGGCGACGCTAGTGCTTTTCTCTTGTCGCCCTACTTGCCCTGCCGAGGTGTTCTGTGGCTGATGCTCGATTAGCATTGTGGCCAACGTCACTCCGCCTGGTCTGTCCGCTAACTAGTTTCGCTCTATACCCTTGTGGTCTCGTACCCATATTAGCTTGAAATTGGAAAGTGAATATATTTTCCCTATATACTTAGTCGAATGATGATGTGACTTCTTAAAATTAAAACAATTAATTAAAAAAAAAAATAATCAATTTTATTAGTGGTTAAAAGTCGACCCGGCACCACCAAACGGCTGAAGGTTTTGTGGAATTATTTCTTTCCATTTAAGTAATATGCACCATATCGGACCATAAATATGGGTTTTTCAAATATTTCGACCACTTGCGAATTAATTCCTCTTTCATATTGCATTGTCATCGGGTTCTGAACTAAGTTTTGAGTTTCAAGTCTTCAACTCATCGGAAAACTGGTTAAAAATTTATTGCAAGATTTGATGAAACTTAAAAAAGAAAAAAATTTAAAAACTCAGCCTTCCGCATAAAATATGCTCGATTGCTTTCCTATTGGTAGCGTCATCTTAGCATTGTGGCCAAAGATGTCTGCTCCTATGACTTCTGGAAAGCCATCTGTGTACTAAGGCAGGGTACCAGCCAAAATATTAAATCTCTTCCTCTGGCATACCATCTCTGGGAAAATATGGAAACAGCATAAAGTGAGGAAGCGATCTATTTTCTTCTCATATTGCACTACAGCCAATTGGCGTTTTCTGCCAGCGTCATCCATGGTTAGCCTGGGTTGGGTTATAGTTGCAGTCTGTATCCAAATCCCGCTGAGGTTATCTCCAAATATATGAGCTTAAGTCAAAAAGATAGTCCAAAAAGTGTTTATGAAGATAGCGTTGCCTGAGTCCAACGAAATGTGGACAATGACAGAGAAAATGAACGACGAGGAGATACCCAGCATCTCGGGTTTGTAGTCAAAGCTCCTGTTCAACATTTAGACGAGGTATGATTTAAGCTACAATTTGCAGGACAAAAGAGGGAGGTTTTTGGGGCTGAAAAGAACGT